CACCAAAGGTCACTCCGGCGAAGGGTCACTCTCACGTGCAGTCGAACTGGCAACAATCAACGGTGGTGGCAGCTGGCCGGCGTGCAGGCGGAAGGCGCTGGTCTTTCGATCGCCATCTCCCCCACGAGCAGTTGCCACAGAAGATCCGTTGGAATCTGCTGGGCAAGTAGAGCGCCTGTGAGAACGAACGTGCACTTTAAAATATGCGTGCATGTGCAGAGTATGCGTCTCACACAGCGGTAAGACACCTGCGGTCAGGAATTTGTGCCTAGCGTGTCGTGCCGCTGGTGCGGGCCCATCACGCTTCGGCGCGATACGCTGACCACGTCCCACTCCCCAAGCGTCAACGTCCCGAGCTTTCCCGACCTTCCCGTCCCGCGGAGCGGAGCGACACGCTGTCCGCATAGCGTGTCGCCTTGGCCGCCGCCGCGAGATGCCAAGCAAAAGTTCCCGACCGTTCACTCGCATATCGCAGCTGAGTTGCTTTGCCACAGCCGCCGAAATAAGGCAAAAACACGCAGGCCTACATACTTGAACCTGCGCGAGCGCGACGTTTGTACGAGGCGCGGCGCGCAGGGACTTTCGAAATACGATAGAGGGACGTACGCCGCTCTCCCCCGACACCCGACGTCTCGGACACATAAGGCTCCCAAAGGTCTGGACCCTTTCCCCGGGACCAGCTCCTCACCCCGAGTCGCTTTTTGACCGTCCCCGGGCCCAGCGAGGGACCCCAGGGCCCGAACACGGAGAACACCTCCGCCTCGAGCTTCTCGAGACGCTGGAGGTCTGGGTCTCGTGACCGCCCAGGCAGGCAGCAAGTTCGCTGACCCCCGCGGGGGCACCCGCCGCCCGCCCCCTCTCGGGCGGGTGGTAATGGGGGGGTGACCTGCATGGGGAGTGACCTCCCCCTCCTCCTCCTCCTCTCCTACTCCTCCTCTCCTCCTCCCTCCTCATCTCCTCCTCCCCCTCTCGGGAGGCCGCGCGCGAGCTGGCGGGGGGGGTCGCGCGTCGAGCGCCAGAGGAGGCCGGGGCCGGGTTAAGTGAAGCGCCCAGCGCCCCGAACTGGAAGGGCAAGGGAGGAGGAGGGGGAGGGGGAGGGGGAGGGGGAGGGGGAGGGGGAGGGGAGGGGAGAGGGAGGAGGAGGTGTGAGGAGGAGGAGGAGGAGGAGGAGGAGGAGAGAGAGGAGGAGGAGGAGGGAGGAGGAGGAGAGGAGGAGAGGAGGAGGAGGAGGAGGAGGAGTAGGAGGAGGAGGAGGTTGGAGGAGGAGGAGGAGAGGAGGAGGAGGAGGAGGAGCGAGGAGGAGGGAGGGGGAGGAGGAGGAGGAGGGGGAGGGGGAGGAGGAGGCGGAGGGGAGGAGGGTGGAGGAGGAGGAGGGAGGAAGGGGAGGGGAGGAGGAGGAGAGGAGGGAGGAGGAGAAGGAGGAGGAGGGAGAGGAGGAGGAGGAGGAGGGAGGAGAGGAGGAGGAGGAGGAGGGAGGGGAGGAGGAGGAGGAGGGGGAGGGGAAGGGGGAGGAGCAGGGGGAGGGGGACGGGGAGGAGGAGGGGCAGGAGGAGGAGGAGGAGGAGGAGGAGGAGGAGGAGGAGGAGGAGGAGGAGGAGGAGGAGGAGGAGGAGGAGGAGGAGGAGGAGGATGAGGAGGAGGAGGGCGACGCCCCGATGCTTCTCAGGACGGCGCCCCTGGCGGCCCCGACCCTCTCCCCAGGACCGGCGTTCCACCCCAAGCCGCTTTTTGTTTGTGAAGGGGCCCCAGGACACACAAATAGATACACACAAATAATAAGATGCCGCATATTTTCCTATATTTTCTGGGTTTTTGTCTTCCCCCCCACTTCCAATATTTTCCCGTATTTTGCCATATTTTCCTGGGAGTCGACGATCAATTGTGTCTGTGGGTTGTTTCCCCTCCTGATTTTGGCGGCCCCGCGGCCAAGGGCCCCCGGGGCCCGAACATAGCGAAAGGCCTCCCGCCATAGTTTGTGAACGACACGATTATGTCCAGGTTTTCTTCACAGCCTACAGTGAAAACGTATAGTAAGGACGCGTGGTAAGGACGCAAGACCCTTGGAGGCCGAAGTTGAAGTATTCTGGGCGGCAGGCGGCCAAACCCCCAGGGAACCTGAGAAACTGGCCTGCGAAAATTGCTAGGGGCGGGCCGCAGAGGCTGAGGCAGGCAAGGACCCAAGGGTAGCCTTGAAAAAGTTGTTTGTCCTTACTATGCGCGTTGACTGCATTTAGGTCACCCATATTTGTGGCGGCTCGCAGAGGGGGGCAGGGAGAGGGGGGAAGGCGTCCTAGAAGGAGGCTGCTTCTCAGACGGCGCCGGCCTGACATCTACAGACAAGGCCCGCGCCTTCTCAGAAGCAGGGGTGCTTCTCAGAAGCCTCCCCCCCTCCCCCCTACCCCCATTTGCGCGTGGCCGACACCTCGCCATCGCTCGGGCGTCCATTTCCCGTGCACTTCTCGATGTCGTGCGCGCTTTTTGTTGCCCGATGGTCCAGGATGGTCCTCGGTGGTTCTCGCCGAAAAAAAAGCACACGTCCGAGCGATGCCAGGACATTTGCCACCCGCCCGACCCTCGGGTGCTGCCCGACGTGGCCCCCTTAGCCCACACGGGGGCCCCAGCCTCTCCAGCAAGCCCCGGGGGGGCGCCCAGCGCTCCCCGCCGACGAGGCCCATAGGCCCCACGGGGGGCGCAACATGGCGCGACGAGCCGGGGGCACCTCTAGAATCGAGAATCGAGGATTATATCGAGGATGATAGCATCGAGAATCGAGCACACCATCGAGAATCAAGAAGCCGGGTGAGGGCAAATCGAGAACTTCTGAGGTCTGGCGGTTCTGAAGGATGTCTCGGGCGCCACGGCCTTCTCAGAGCGTCCCAGAACGCTCTGAGAGCGTTCCGGAACGCCCTGGAACGGATAGATCCTCGTCCTGGACCCGTCCGACTCTGGGCCACTTCTGGCACCCGCCACAGACATCCGACGACGTGTTTCCAGATCACGTCCCAGATCCAATCTCTGACGCGATCCCGAGGCCGTTCTTCGTCCCGCATCCACTCCCGACGGCCCCGGGGCCCTTCGACGGGCCCCCAAGGCCGAAACCTCAGAGCAGTGCACTGGACGAGTCTAAAGCAAGGAACCGAACTTTCTACAGCGATGCTTTTTTTCTGGTCCCGCAATGAGAATCGCACGAGAATACGGATTCTGGTGTATACGGCATCCTGGTGTATACATTTGTTGTTGTTTCCACGGGAGAACGGGGGACAAAAAGTATACACCACACCACCCCGACGTCGTCCCCGGCCCTCAAAAAAGGCCTGGGCTCGAAAAAAACGCCCAACACTGGTAATGTAATTGTTCCAGTCCCTGATAATAAGCCTCGCACGACCCTCGACGGCCCCATAAACCGCCCGCCACTGGCAATGTATATGATCCAGCTCCCGATGAACCTCCAGTTCCCGATAAACTTATGTCGGGCGTGTCCCCCTACAGGGGATTGTCGACGAAAAATCAAAAATACACAAAAAATACCCCCAAAAGGTAAAACATACTTAAGAAATAGTCATGTTTACTTTTTCGTCGAAAGCCCCCCTGTAGGGGGACAGGCCCGACTTAAAGATAGAGGGAAGAGAACTGTGCACATGCACCGATTCTGGCCAGGCCCATCCTGAGCCCAGGATCGGGGCATCACGCCCTCTTACCTCGGCCAGGAAGGCATATTCACCGATCCTGGGTCGGTCCAGGATGGGCGTTGTCAGGGTCGGTGCATGTGCATAGTGGCGGCGCGCACAAGGGGGTGGAGGGAGGGGGGAGGGCTTCTTAGAAGGAGGCTTGCTTCTTGAAAGGCGCCGGCCTTCATCTATAGGAAGGCCCGCGCCGTCTAAGAAATCAGTGTGCTTCTCCAGAAGCCTCCCCCCTCCCCCCCACCCCCCCTCTGCGCGTGGCTGAATAGTTCTCTTCCCCCGAAAAAGAAGAGCATGCGGACTGAACAAACCGCACCGTCGGAGATCTGGGCCCGGCTCTCCTCCGGCCCCGCAGCGGCTATGGCCGGGGCTGACCCGGGCCAGCCCGGAAGCTATACAGGCCGGCGGCGAGCGCAGGGGGGAAGCGAGAAGGGACGGGCCCTCTCAATCAGACCCCATCGCGTCGTGAAGAACTCACGACGGAAAGTTTTTCGCTATTTTCGCCCTCTGGAGGTCCTCACCGGGCCTCGGGACCGTGAACAAAAACGACTCAGAATGGAAAACCGGTCCCGGGGAAAGGGTCCAGACTTCTGGGGGTCGACGTTGTGAGAAAATCACGACGTCGGGGGTCTAGGCAGAAGGCTGGGAAGTTCCCCGGCCTTATGACAAGTTTCCTAAGCCTTCCCAGAAGACACGGCGGTCTTCTCAGAAGGCTGGAGGGCTTCTGCGAAGCCCCGCCGCCTTCTGAGAAGGCCTTCTCCCCAGACATGCGACGTCCTGATCTTTTAAGGACGGCGTCCCCGGAAGTTCCAACCCTTTCCCCAGGACTGGCTCTTCGTCCTGAGCCGTGTTCTGAAGCTCCCGGGGCCCGGCGAGGGCCCCCCGGGGCCGAAAATGGCGGAGAACTTGCCGCCCTGATTTTTAAAAAGACGCGAGCATGTCTGTGACTACCTACCAGAACACCCCAACCCAACCCGAAGACCCGAATTTCGGGTTGGGGAGGTACGGGTTCCATATGTGTTTTCTCGATGTTCCCCGACCCCCCCCCACTGGAAATGGAGGGCAATTTGTGCCCTTCGGGTTGGGTTGGGGTGGTTTGGTGGGTGGTGAGTCTGGGCCCTTCTCACTTCCCCGCCCTGATTTTTTGAAGACGCGAGCATGTCTGGGCCCCTCTCGCTTCCCCGCCCGCTCGCCGCCGAGCAGAGCCCGCCCGCTGCCCTGCGCACAGCCCCGCGCACGGCAGCCGGCCACGGCAGCCCCGCCCCTTTGCTGCGCCTAGAGGGCCTCGGCCGCAGCCGCCAGCCCCGAGCGCCGCCCCGCCTCTCGGGTGCTGCCCAAATCGGGTCGGGCGAAAGGGGGGGATAGCAAAGGGGGGGGGTGAGAATCAGCTCACGTAGCTGATTTTCCCGGCGCCTCCCGGCGCCGGGAGGCGCCCATAGATCGAGGAATGGGCCCAGCGGCGGGGCCGAAACCAGCTGCATGCAGCAGATTTCGTAACCCCCCCTTTCCCAATCCCCCCCTTTCGTCCGGCCCGACCAAAGGTGTCCCTGCCCAAGGCGCCCCCAGGATTTCGGCAGAGGCCCAAACGGCCTCCCCAGGCATTGCCATGTCCCAGACATGCTCGCGTCGTGAAAAAATCAGGACGGCAAGTTCTTGGCCAACTTCGGCCCCGTGGGGCCCTCGCCAGGCCTCGGGGCGATCAAAAAACGATTCAATATGAAAAACCGGCCCCGGGGACAGGGTCGGGCCTTCTGGGGACGCCGTCGTGAAAACAGCAGGACGTCGCGTGTCTGGCATGGCCTGTGTATGGGGTTGAAGTACAAGAGTACAGAACCCCTGATCCGTTGGTAGAGAGATGGAGGGATAGATGGATATCTTTCCCTCCCAAGCGATCAAGGTACGATCGCTCCAACTCAGTACCTGAGCCCAAACGGCCAGGTGCGGGAGAGGTAAGGATAAGGAGTATATATGAGGGTATTACACGGGTTCCATACACACCCCCCGTCCCGAATCCCGCCCGTGAAGGCAGGACTCGGGATCAGCAGGATGGAATCCGTAACCTCTGAACTCCTTTACCTTAAGTCTGAAGGGCAGCTGGGCTAAAAGTCAGCGGAGCCCAGTTGCAAGTTGAGGTAAGAACAGATACCTTGGGTCTCTTTTTCTTCTCCAGGCGTACTTTGCCGCCCCCTCGGTGCGCCCCCCAAAACGCTTCGGCACTCGAGGGAGGAGAAGAATGAGACAAAGGTATGCGGAGAAAGAAGATCTGAGCACCAAGGCAACATGTAAACTGCCTCGCAAGATTTGCGAGGCAGGTGTTGCCACCAGCTAGCAGATTATTCTCGACGCAATATTGTTAAATTGTTAAAATATGCATGCTAAGATCGTGTTTACGAACACAATCTTGAAATCAAACACAAGTCTGCCTAAAATCAAATGTATGCCAAGATCGTGTTGACGAACACGATCCTGAAAGAAATGCAAATCTGTGTTAAAGCAAGTACCTGGCCAGGAGAAAAATGTCGTGTTGATGAACACGAAAATGATGTATAAAAATCTGTTTGGCGACTCCCGTTGGCGTTGCTCCTTAGGAGGCTGCCTCGGTGATCGCAAAAGATATCTATATGTGTGTATGGCCATTTGTGTGAATGATTGAAGTGGCCTAAAAGAAAGTATTAGCCACCGCTCAAGGCGAACTTAGATGAACGGAAGTTCTGCTCTTGAGCAGTGGGCCTTGCGGCCGACCCACTACGCGTCGCCGTCCTTGTAGAGCATGCGGTCCCACACCCTCTGGCCGTTGTACGTCACGTAGCTTGTCGTAAACGTTTCCCAAGTTGTCCTCGGGATCCAGTTGCGGAACCAATCGTTGTACGTGATATCCTGGATGTACACATACTCGTCGTTGTTGATCGCAATGTAGATCCAACATTTGATGTAGTAACTCCAGCATCGAAGACCCCAATCGCTGTCCTCGAGATTGTGCCGCCAGTAAGCAGCGTAATCAGATGTACGTGCTCTCTTGGCGCGCGGCATCGCGGGCATGTAGTCCTCTGCGCCTGAGGCGCTGGATGCAGCGGCGTCGCCAGGAGCAGGGCGCGGCGGCGGGCGCGGCGGCGGCCGCGGCTCCATGGCGTCATCGGACTGTCGGGAGTGTGTATCTGGATCGGTTCTCATCCCTGTACTACCCCCCCTCTGGTCTGTGTGTGACGGATCGAGGGAGCCTATCAGTTCGTTGGCAATCGCGGCAAGCTTGCGCTGGGTGAACTGTTCACGGGTCCCGTCCCTTCGAGGGAGAGAAACCGTAATCAGTCCGCGCGCCTGCCGCGTCTGCCTATCAATGCGTCCCTCGTTCAGCCACCACTTTCTCCGACCAGCCTGTCCTGTCCTAATACTGACATCAAGGATGTCCCACGCGTCGCGCATGTCCTCGACGGTCCAGGGCTTCTTGCCGACATTCACGCGGGCTCCTGTCATCTGATGATGGAATCTGAGGTCGTTGAGAAAGCGTTGAATGAGATTGGCGTATGGGTAGTACAGAGGTCGGTCGTCCTCGGATTCGCCCATTAATCTGCATTCGTGTGCAGGCGGGCTACCGGCTTCGACCCACTTCTGATACCTCTTTTTGGACGTATTGGCCAATCTCCGCAACTGATCTTTCTCTGTGCCTATGGGGGATCGCGCACCCGTCATAATGACACGTGCGCCATCCTTCATGTATCTCGCGACCTGGTCCTCGGACAACGTCGTCTTGATCCAGTTCGTCAACTTCTGGAGGTACGCGAGGTCACTCTGTGTGGCGGTGCTCTTACCTGTGGCGCCTACGGCCACAGTGTATTGCCAACATATATCACAGAGTGTGCCGTCACCTGTGACGATCCCGAGGGACAGATCTCGACCGCAATTGTTACAGAGCGGTATGGGATGCAAGATCGTCTCGGGGGCCCCTGCCGAAGTCAGGTGATTGCGGGATCCCCAGCGGGTGTCCTGACCGCGAGCGAGGCTCTGACCGATCTGATTGATCGCCTCACGATTGATCCCGGTGTTTGGTCTGGAAGCGATCGATCTGCTTAAACCCTCGATCTCGATCCGAGACAACCTTTCCCCTGGCAGTCCTTTGTACTCTATCTTGACGTTGTCGGTATCCTCAGTACCGCCATGGCATACGTTCTCCTCACGAAGACGGCGAGCCTGCTTCTGCAAGGTAGCCTCGTTGTCGCCCTCCTCGCGCTTGAGTCCCGTCTGCTCGGCTATGATACGTGCCATAGTCTCCTGATCGGGAGCTGCAGACGCAACACTGCCTGGGTCCTGGGGAATATCCTGCTCGGCGCCTTCCTCTCGAGGCGCAGCAGGTGTTTCCACCAGCTCTTCCCACGCAGGAAACTCTGGATCACCGTATGTCGCAGTACAATGTTTGTATAGGTCACGCAATGCCTGAAGTGCAGGATGGTTGTCATGGATGACTTCCTTGGCGAAATCTGGTAGTTCCACAATACTATCTTTCAAGATGTTCTGGTATACTTTGGAAATCCATTGAAAGATGCCTGTGGTCGACTCCTCGATAGTCTCTGGGTCGAGGTAGTGTACCAACTTTTTAAAGAAATGATCTGCACCACAATTGGGTAAGTCACGTGCCCACTTGTGGGTATGATTGTAGTTCAATTGATATGACTCCGCATTCCATGCTTTCGATCCAAATCGAATTTCAAATTGTAAATGTGACTGAATTTTGTCCATTACGATTCTGTCTGCGCCACTGTGTATCTCGATGACCTGCCTCATCTTGATCATAGGCGAATCCACCAATAACGCCGATGTCCAACAATACACGCGGCAATCATCAGACTGTCTAATCCATCTTGAATCCTCGTCGGGGTCGTAATCTGGATGGTCAAGGAAATTCGATGGCGGATCAATGATGTTATCGAGGATGCTTGCCTCAATCTGCTCTTCTGCTTGGATGTCTGCCGAGAGGTCTGCTCTCATGTTGTCGTTCGCAGCTTTCTCATCGGCAGTAAGAGCGATATTTGATATGTCTACGATTACGGTGATCAGTGGATCATGCGATGATGCTGTACCCTGTCGAGGAATGTCGCCTCGCTGAGCGTTGTCCTCGGCAGGTGTGGCCACCAGCTCGTCTGGATCAGGTGTCCGTGGAGCGGGCCTTCTTGGTGGTGTACGCGGAATACGTGGTCTATGGATGCTAGGCATTCCAAGGTATGGTAAGCTGCCGCTAACCTTGTGCTGCAGTATCTCCTCGCTGCATGATGTCGGGCCTTTCAGGGCGGTCTCCATCCATGTTGGATCAATGGCGTGTTCTTCGATGCGAATCGGTAATGCAAATGCGACGCCCTTGAGGGGCATGCTTGTGTCATTATACCAGATATTCACCCATCGTAAACCGTAGTTGAGAATAGGTACTTGTACCGCAAAGAACTTGTCGAAGATGCCGAAATGGATGATTGGACCGTATATGTGTCCCTTGGACAAGGCAATTTTGGTATTGTGATTGCCTTTGGGCCAGTGGTTGTCGTAGTGGAAGCATTTGGTAGAACCCCAATTCTTAATGGCAATGAAGTCGCCCATTCGAACATCGTTAAATGCAGGACGACGATCCCAATCCTTTTGCATGATCTTTGATGTGGTTGGTCGAAGAGCTTCACGACAATGTGATAATGCAATTAACCATTCTTTATCATCTGCTTTGTGATTGGTCTCCTGGATCATAGCGCGTACTATTTGCTCGTCCAAGGCGTCCTCTGCGGATGTACGGCCAGCAGGGGTTTCCCCCGGCCTGGCCGAGGGTGCTGATGCTGGCGTCGTCCTTGGAGGCTCCATGTCGTGGTCGGGGTCGATAGGTGCCAATCCAGGTGGGTCGTCAATAAGTTCTCCAGGGAGGCAGGCGCAAATCTCGTACTTGCTCAATGGCTCTCTGGCTGCCAATAGCGGGTAGTCCCATGGGTCGCCGTCTGGCCACAACTGCTGGCCATGCATGTGGTGTGGTTTGAGGCGGCGAATTGCAATAATTGCCGCAGCGGGTACCACGTCCTCAGTCATGATAGCGCCCTGAGCACCCAGCCAAAATCTGCAACCTGCTTTTGTGGCGATTTCCATGTTAATCACCAGCTCGACTTCGTTCTTGTAGCTGTTGAACTTGTACGATTCCACTGAAGTATGTGGGTTCTTTTGAACATTGTTCAAATATGTGCTAGAACTGAAGAATGCCTCAGATCGCTGCGATGGTTTGTAATTTCTGTCTCTCTGAGAATGTGGTTCAACATATCCAGGAATGATCCCTGTCTTCAATATGTTCTTCCAGGCGCGGG